TGAAATATGATTTCACGAATATCATTCTCTAAAATATGCTTTCGAAATATAACATATTTGGATCATCTTTGGTATAAGCACGAGGACTCACAGTCTTCTCTCATGTTAATTATAGCAATATACTTTCTCGAGAAGTTCACTCCCGCGCAGGGCGCGGGTCTTGCCTAGTTACAAAAATTTGAAAAGATTATGATGGAAATATTGTGGCAGACATTATGGAAATTTTAATATAAGATATATGACACAATTATAATAGAAGATTACCACTAAATCTTGAATATATATTTCCTTAATAAATATATAAGGCCAATATAAATATAAATTCATTTTTGTTTTTAATTAAAGAAAAAAATCGATGGCACATAAAATAATTAAACAATTTCATTAAGGGTATTTTCGACAAAGCAAATCTTAAATTTGCTGTGAGAGCGACAAGTAGGATTTTTGACCTCATAATTATAAATATAGATTCTATGTCAAACTAATTCAAATTTAAGACAATTACCGTATAAAGCAATTAATTACATGTGGATTATTGTAAGCTTTTATTTGAATGTAATCTTTTAACTACTAAAGTACAAATTATTCAGAATTTTTTTAGGACATGAATTTGTTTACATCTCTCTGCAAACTGATTAAAAAGTCCAAAGCTCCAACTGAAATATATAATTCCATGACATTTTAAATCGACTTTAATTCTTTTATCTCTCCGATCAAAGCATGAAACCAAGGGCAAAGAACACTACAAACGCAAAACATACAACATAAGAGAAAGAGATAAAAATATGGTTTAATTGCTTAAACATTTAAAGCTGTAGAAGAGATCTACATCAATGTTGCTAAGAGGTGAGATGATGTCAAAAACATAAAAATACACATGGTAATCCAATGTCCGAGACTGAAACTGCAACTCGGACTGAATAATACGTCGTAATTAAGATAACAAAATTTAAGAAAACCAAAAATGCTAATTAAAATAGTTCATTTTAAAAACTAAATAACACTAAATATAACAACATAAAAAAATTACTAGTTTATAAGATTTTACAAACATAATTTTGTTTCTTATAAAAAAATTAGTTTCTCATTAAATATAAAAATATTTATGGCTTTTTAATGCAAGTACTAGTTCTTACCAACACACTTTTCACCCTCTTTGTCTGAAACGAACTTTGTGTATCATTTTTGAAGAGTCTTTGAATCAAGATTCTTGAAAATGTCGAATTTTTGCAAGAAGCTTCATGTTGTCTTCTTTTATGCTCGCAAAGACTTTATCCTCGCACTCATGATCTTCTGCAACTTTTCCTTTTGTGATCATTGTTGAACAAGACAAAGAAGAAAAAACATAGATAAACGATGTAATTTGAAGTATTCAATTGCATAATTACTCATAGACACAACTTAGTGTGAATTTTACTTTTCATTGATTGATTTAAAAACTAACTATAGGAAAATGTTTCCGAAAGTGAATTACATTTTCCCAGAAAGTGCATATTATGAACACTAATTTAATGATGGTGGATTTTACTTTTTATTGATTGATTCAAAAACTTATTATACAATCTTGGCGTTTCAATGGATTACTATTAAAAAAAAAAAGTTTTTTGAAAGTACATTTTCTCTGAAATTGCATAAGTTTATGAACACTAATTCAATGATTATTTAGCAATTATATGTGTTTTAATTGTCATAAAGTGACATAAATAATGAAACGGAACAACCCAAACAATTTACTAACAGACTTTTTCTAATAGCTTAATACACACTAACGAGCGATGGTTCCTTTCCACGTCACAAAAGAGAAACATTCTCGTCACTCGTCAATAATCCCTATATATATATATTCCATTTGCTCATCTTCTTCGAATTACAAACATTCTTAAACTACATACACAAATTATTACAGATTCTTCCCTCTATTTACTATTTTGTTCATTTT